AGCTTTATCGATTATCCAGCATTTAAACATGTTGCCCCCGGATTGGGTTTGATACCAGGGCTCGGTACCGATCCCTGGAAGAGCTACACATGTAAAATGTAGAGTTACACAAATTCCAACATTCATCTGGATTTCAGTGCACACAGAGGGGCGACTACAGAGAACACATTTAGAAATCTATTTATTCATTTTAAGTGAAACTGGTTAAGAGATGGCACACAGACTCATGCAAGATGGCAGCACCTGTTTCTGACACATTGCCCATAAACACCAGATTTTTTTTACTTATTCTAAATTCTTTTCTCTTCGCACACAGCTTCACCTTTTTTTAAATCAAATGCAAATAAATGCAGCTATTACAAGTGAATGCATACAGACAAACACTGCACTGTTTTGTTTTTTAAGTTATTTTTTTTTATTGGATAGGATAGTCGAAGGAGAGACAGGAAAGTGGGGGAAGGGTTGCAGAAAAGCGCCATGAGCGGGATTCGAACCCATGACCGCTGCATCGGAGACTACAGCCCCTGTACATGGGTCACCAGCTCAACCAGCTACAGCGGCGGCCCAACACTGCACTGTTATAAATTCAGGGTTTGCGCAGATTAACCAAGTTAAGCACGATGTTATTTAATAACTCTGTCACCGTCCTACTGGGCAAAGTATAAAGGTATGACGGATAAGCAAATAAGATCATATCAGCTGTTTGTCATGAGCGTCGGTGAGCAGCTGCAGTGGACGGATGGATGGATGGACGGATGGATGGATGGATGGATGGATGGATGGATGAATGGATGGATGAAGGCATCACAAATGATCGAGTTATTTTAGCTTTTGCTAGCAACAGAAACACTTCAGCTGCTGGTTAAGACTAGATAACTTTTAAGGTTTTTTATGACTTTCTAATACCTGCAGAAACCCCACAGTTACACTCATCCAAACCACCGACTAGTGGTTGGAAACTGAAACACCAAAAGACGAATGCCAGATCATGCGTTTTAGACACTTCCTCTGCTTATTGCAGATTCACGGCTGTGACGCTGAAGGAGGCCTCATCTGCAGCAATTACATCAATTTGACACGGCCAATGATATCATTTGCCAGTAATTGGTTTGGCCAATTATTGAACCCGATATTCAGCATTTTTCTGATTACTGGTATCATCATCTAAAAGGTTCATTCATACTGTGCTACTGTGGCTCTGTATGACCGGTTACACATCAGAGGGAACCGCCTCTCGACAATAAAAGTTCAAATGCTCTGTTTTACTCACACGTACGTTAAACATTAATAAACCAAGACTCCTCAACTAAGTCTGGAGTTTGTGATACCAAGATTTTCATTTTTACTGCAAATGTCAGTCTGTTTGATGACTAATAGTCCTTATCTGTCCGATCAGTGGAGCCGTGACCGCGGCCACACAGCCGTGGTAAAAACAAACCAGAATGAACTGAGCTGCAGCTGATTGCTGACTGAAGCACATGTCACTTTACTCTCTGCTTTCAGCCCATCTTCCCTCACACTTCCTCTTTTTTTTCTCTCTCTGTCTTGATTTTCCTGCTGCAGGCACAGAACAGATTTGCCCACAAATAAACCACGTTTCCTAAATTTACCACCACGCTGGACGGTTTACAGCAGGAGAACAGGGTTGGGGGCAACCTTAGCACAGGGAGTGGAGTGTTCAGCTTCTACATAGATGTGTTCGTAGGCGCTCTTTCCTCTGGCGTGGAGGATTTCCTGTACTGATTTCTCAGATTCGGCCAGATGAACTGCGTCTGTCATTCAACCGCTGAACTGAGATTAATTCTGCTGAATGCGTTTTCAAGTAAGACGACATTCACAGTGGTGCCGGTGTGGTGCCAAAAAGTAGCAGGCTGCCAAAAACTGATGGCGCACTTCTTGTTCAAGCCATAAAACCCAGTTTACATTTGTGTGTAATCAGAAGATGATGATCAGGATTCTTCCAATGTGTTCAGTATGTCTGTGAAACCCATGTTTAGACAGAATTAACAGGATTGGGTTTTATTATAGATATAAAATAAAGATTTCTTTCCCCCTAATTATCCTGTAATCTTTAGACTTTACCCTCATGAGTAATCATTTCCACGTATTATTTATCATTTTAGTCATAATGTAGGGGTTAGAAGCACTTTTCTGACAAGTGGAAAGCTGCATAATGTGACTTGAATTGGTCCTTTAAAGCTGTTTCTATCAGTAAAAACAGCTGGATGGGTTCTAAGAGCAAGTTGAATGATCAGGTTTTTGGCAGACAAACACTTTGTGGCACAACAGCGAGATGTCAACGTGAACACACACTCAGAGCTCGTTGTGGCCACAGCAGGACAAAAGGAGCCGCTTTTATTCATCACCTGTTCAGACGCTCCGACATTAGAATAAAGTTCATACAACACACAATGAGCCGCGGTGCCGGATTTCACTGGAAGTTTAACAAACAACAGCCACAACAACAGCACACAGCTCCGGCACAGAGGGCTGGTTCAGTGTGCTAAGCTAACGTCAGTCCGTCCAGCGTTACCGCACTACTGGGACGGTAGGTGTCGTGTACCGATGGCGATTTTTATTACAGCACAAAAAAAGTTTCTAACTATTGTTTCCCTCCGTGTGCGAAATGGCCGAACACAAAGCTAAAGTGGCGGAGCCGATCACACACGTCGGTGTCGGTTTCCGAGGCTGAATGAGCAAACGGAGTGAATTTCACACCGACTTTTCTTTCAAGAGTAACGTAAGTCTGCGCCATTTTCCACAGAGTTGTGTCACTATTAGCCAACATGATGTTAAGCTAACGCCATTGCTAACAGCTAACACATTCATTTTGCATGCTCCGAGGCTCGTTTCTGAGCCGCGTCTCAATGAAATAAGCACAAGTCTTACCGCTCCGGATCCAAAGGAAAGTTGAAAAGTGGAGTGATGCTTTCGGATTCCCGCTGCTGGTAATCACAGTTCGCTGCGGCGCAGCAGTCAGTCATTTTGGACTGCAATGTAGCTAGCAAGCAAGTTAGCTAGCTTAGCTGGCGGTTGCAAGCTGGCAAGGCTACTGTGAGCAAACCTGCAGGAGAGTCTACAGAGTCATGCCTGGGACCAAACCTGCAACCGACACAGTCGACTTTCAACGGTACTTTCGCTTAATGACTCTTTGGCAAACTAAGAACCCACTAATTCCATGCTTTCAAAAGTTGATGTGCCGTGCTGAGCTAAGAGTCGCCGAAAGCGTGTTATCCCATCAACCAGGAACTAGTCGGTGCAGCTCGCGGTGTTGACCAGCAGAGGGCGCAGCGGCACCATCGGGCCCGGACAAAGAGCCTCAGTGTCAAGATAGTAAACCCCCACTGTGGGTCACCGGCACAGCTCTGGCTAATGAACAATACGCTGTTTGGGTTTGAAAAGCCGGAAAGGAAATCCTCGCTATTGTTCTTTTTACGCTACGTTATGGCAAATCTGTATTAGTTAAATAAAAGTCATTTTTAGAACTGAGGCAATGTAACAACGGGCTGATGTGTGGTAGCTGCTGTAGAAACACCGTGACTTTTATTTCCACACAAGTGTTTTTGTGCATGGAAACTGTGGTTCAGTTAACTATTTTAATTCACTAACATCACACCTGACACTATTAAACAAGCTGTGCATTACACAATCATGTCCAGTACAGCAGATGGATCGTACGGAGGCGCAGCTCTGCTCTTGCTGTGACTACATACTCTCTGATGGGGACTTGCAGCTTCCCTCTCCACACGTTGTTAAAGCAGATTTAGTTCATCAAGTGTTTCACTGCCACACATCCAGGACGCACCATTTATAGCTCTCTGATCCTATGTGTGTGTGTTTTTGTCTTAAGTAACGTCTAATTAGTTTGTCCGTGTACATCCTGTGTCATTTATTAAATTATAAATGCTACCATAGAACAGGTAGAACAGAGCCAGCACATACTTAAAACTTAATAAGTGTCATTAAATATGACTGATCTTTTAAATTACATTGAAACACATTTACTGATTTATTTGTGTTCTTTGATGGAATGTCTTTTATATTTATGTGCTGTATGAATAAGTTTCCATCCATCCATTATCTATACACCTCTTAATCCTCACTACCAAGCACACTCACATTCACACCTATGGACAATTTACAATCACCAATTAACCTCAGCATGTTTCTGGACTGTGGGAGGAAGCTGGAGAACCCGGAGAGAACCCACGCTGCACGGGGAGAACATGGAGACTCCTATAAATCAGTCTGACTATTGAAAAACATGCAGAACAAAGTCTACAGTAGTCATTTCTCAGGGTTGTTGTTAATCACGGTGGCGCTTTGTCTGCTGTGGTGATTTAAACTATTACACTGGGAGGCTTTAATTCAAGCAGCTGGACCACATTTATTGTCCTAAAGGAAGTTAATGAATCAAAATCATGAACACTCATTATAAAAACCTCAGAAGTGAGCAGCTACTGTGTCGCTCTGGAGGCATAACAGCAGATAGCAGCAGATCCCTGATACACAAGAACTAGAAGGTTCAGAGCTTTTCACTCGGTTTTCCGCTGGAGACCCACCTCCCAAAGCCAGGAGACTGCAAAAAAGAAACAACTCAAAGATTTGGCTGTGAATGTGATGTATGTGGCGGAGAAGGAGACATGCCAACTGCATCAAATGCTGTCGGTAGGCCAGTTGGTCCTCAATCATATCAGATTCCATTAACACCAAACACTATAGTGGAAATGTGAGTCTCAGGGCAGACAGTGACTCAGCTCTTTGTTCACAAATACACACTCTATTCATAGACATAATACCTGGAGTGAAGGATGGATAGTGGTGGATGCTGGCCGGGGGGGAGCTATTGTTCATGAGCCTCAAACTACAAATTTATTACTATTTATTTCAATGTGTCCTGAGAATACCCCCACTTCTGGACCACCATGTGGAGTTCTGTTGAGAAAAGCTTAACAATATTCAATAAACTGTAGAATGAGGAGCAGAAAACACAACACAGCAAAGATTCGACCTCTTTATTAACACATTCGGAGCAGGATTTACAGCTGAGCCTCCCCCCAGTGGCTTGTTATGCAGTAACACAGCAAAAACAGTTCAAGCTTACAAAAGTATAAACACATGTTTGACCACAGCAGCAATGTGGAACAGAAGAACGTAGTAAGATCTCCAGGAATGAGTTCCTCCATCCATTCCAAGTCGTGTCACATATGTTGAACGCAGCATAAATGTCAGACAGGATTCGTTACGGACAGCAAGGACACGTCTGTAATAACAGCGTTTCTACATTTATCGTAAAAAACAAAACATCCTACAAAAGATGCTGCTTCGCCTTGAGGGCTAGAAGCAACACCGAGCACATACCAGCTACGACTCCTCCTCCCTGTCAGGGTGCGTCTTCACGTAGACCTCAACCAGTGAATCCAGATCAAACCCGACATCGTAGTTTATGTTCAGAAGAGCGAGGCTTTTTGATTTGAACGTGTCGGGCGTGTTCTCCATGAACATCCTGAAGCGCTTGTACGCCACATGGCCGCCGTCCTGCAGAGCCAAGGTAGGCAGGATGCCGATGAGTCTCAGGACCGCCAGCATGTTTGGGAAGAACTTCACGTCGGCCAGCTGCAGCGTCTCATGGAGGCTGGACGGCAACGTCTCGCCTTTGCCCTTTTTGCTCCATTTCACCCACCAACAGTGCAGCTCGGCAGAGAGGGTTCCAGCATTAGGGATGTCGCTGTTAAACACCTGCACGCTCTCCTCTTCGGGTTCTGTGGACTTGTGCTGCTCTATGACAGCAGGGACCAGAAACAGACATCTCAGAGCCTTCAGGTGATCCTCGCTGAAGATGTCGGTCATTTCTCTGAAGATGTGGTTCACTACGGGAACAGACAGGTGCTCTTTGTAGTAACTCTCCAGCCGAATGACTCCAGATTCTGCCTGATGCTTCCTCAAGAACGACCGAGGAACCTTCACTGGGATCTCCATGGCGGTAGCTAGATTAACAGCCTCATCGCTCCAGAACTCGTGATACACGTCGATGTTGTCGGACACTTCCTTCAGGGAGTGCAGCACGGCTTTCAAACTGACTGCAGCGAAATGAGCATCTGTTGCGCTCCCTTGTACGTTCTTCCCAAAGGCCCGGGTGAGCGTCAGAACGTTCTTCAGCACAATCAGCGCCATGATGAACTCAAAATCAGCCAGCGCCTTTGAAATCTCCAAGGCGTCGTGTGTGACTTGATCGCTCCACCTCATGTCCTCGTTGTCGTGCACGCTGTCCACACAGAGCAGCAGCGCCTCCAAGATCTCCACCGCCACGTCAAACGCATCGTCCCTCCTGGTCCAGCCGCTTTGACAGATCTCCTTCAGCTCATTGGCTTTCTCCTCTTTGTCCGGGTAAAAAATGGAAATGGCGTGCTCAAACTCCTGCTGCAGCAAAGTGGACTGACTGAAGAAGGACTCGATCTTCTTAAAGGTGGACATGACGAGCTGAACGCCAGACGAAGACATGCTGTTGGCCAAAGACACATTCATGGTCTGAGTAGCTCTCAGTGTGAGCACTGCTCTGGGGAACTTCTCAAGCAGTTTGGAAGCAAATGCTTTTATTTGACTGAAATGCGTGGCGGAGCAGGAGTGGGCCTGACCTCTACACTGCTCCATATCTAAGCCCCATCCCTCAGTCATCTCAGACAGCAGTCTCTCTGCCAGAGCGTCTCCGTGTCCTTCAAAGCTCAAGAACCCGGCAAACTTCTCCTGCTGGCAGTTCGACTGGTCCACATACCGGAGGAAGACGGGGAGGAACCACCCTCCGGAGATCTTCACCAGATCATCAGTGAGTAATGAGAAAAAGCCGTTCTGTTTGACTTCCTCCACCAGCTTACTGCGGATGCATTTCTCACACGCCTCAATCAGCTGGTTGAGCTGCTCAGAGGAGCAGGACTCCTTATTCACGTCGTACCTCTTCTTCAGGACTTCGTCTCCACAGTTCATGCGATATTCCAACAACGCCTGAAAGTTGCTTGACCCGAGGCCTTCTTCTTTAGGATGAGCCGGTCCTGGAGGAGGGATGCTTTGCTCTCCTAACAGCAGGAGGACTTCAAACAATGACCTGAGATACTCTTTGTATTCGTCCTGCTCTGATCCCATCTGGACGTCTTCTTTAGCCGTCTCTGCTTGAGACTTTTTGACTTCTGGAAAAGAAATAAAAACACTTGCAAGACAGACTCAATAAATGATTCATGTTGTGATAAATGTGGCTGTCAAGTCGTAGATGTGTGTGTTTCTACTTACTTTTCCTCCCTTTAGTCTCCACTTCACTATCTTTGGTCTAAAAAATGGAAAAGAAATAAACTGTGATTACACAGAAATGTTGTTTTTTCAATTTAAAATGAGCTGAAATTAACCATTATAATATAAGTAATGTATGCATCTGTGGCTAATGGGACACATTCCCTCACTATGCAAACACACACACACACACACACACACACATATATATATATGACGATGCTCACCACTGAGCAGCTTGCAGCGTGCATTTTTCAATTCAGTACAATTTTATTTATAGTATATTTGACACTTTATTGTGCAATTTGTATCTCAGTATATTTTTCCCCATTTATATTTAATATGTTTTTGTTGTGCTGGTGGTCATGTGACTCTTTCTGCTTGAGATTGTTCCTCTTGGGAATCAATAAAGTATTTCTGTATTTTTCTGCAGCTTGTCAGATCAAACTTCTGTTAACGTCATATAACAAAAACAAGCACCAGCAGTAAAATCTAGGAGGACTCATTTATTAACATTGTGAAGGTTCCCATCCTGATTTAAAACCGTTCTTTTACCCACCATCTCTTTACCGCGCTTCACCTGTCCACTTTGAGGTTTGCTTGGCACGTCAAAAATAGTCGGTACGGCATCTTCCTTCAACACAGTACTCTGACATTCCTGCAACCAAAGCACATGTGAGGACCCAGCAGAAAACGAGACTGATGTGGAATTTGCATTAAAGCTTACATTCAATAAGCGCTACACAACGTGCTTTATAATAGTTAGGGCGACAACATGCAGGGCTGGTTAGAGTCCTTATCACATTTTACATAAACACTGTCCTCTGAAAACTGGTCCAACATTTTACAAACATAACTTACAGTGTCCATCAAAGATGGTTCAAAATGTTTTCCACAGAGCCTGTAGTATCTGTACAGCTGCTCTGCTGGTCTGTCTGTGAGATCTTGGCTTTGGCATTTTTCAACCCACTTCTTGGACCTGAAAGGAAAAACAAAATGTAGTTTCTGACTTTGAGGTTCAGCTGTTGTTCAGTGTTTATCACTTCAACAAAGTGCTGCACATTTGCGGATATTGAAATACCCGCAACACTGACTGAAAGTGCAGTGGTGACAAATACACTGAAAACTATTCAAAGTGTGAAATGTGTAAAGTCAGGACGCGAACCGGCGACCTTCTAGCTGCGAGGCGACGGTGTTAACCACCGAGCCACATTACAGCTCTGAAACATGTAAAGTAATCCTCCAAATCAATGTGGTGCTGATACTCGTCCATCTGTGTGGAGCTTCCCGGTGCACTGGCATCTCTTTAGCATATAAACGGACTGCTGCAGTTCAGATGGATTAAGAGTGACACGACTCCGACTCACAAACAGAAGCTTTTAATGCAAATTGAATCTGCAAACTATCAATGAATTAACAGAAGTCACTTAAGTAGCCAAGTGTCCACAGACGGTGAGAGGTTTCCAGAAATGGCATCAACAAATTAATGGTTGTGGACCTGTCTGTGTAGAGAGTAATGCAGCAGGTTGGCATCTGCTGCAGATGTTGGAGCTGGTCTATCATTATGTGCTCAGTGAAACGCCATGATGTGATTAGTTATGAGTATCACTGCTGCCAAAAAGTGATCACCTCCCACAAATCGATTCTTGTTAAAGCTGTTTCAGTACCTCTGCAGCTGTTTTTATCTGGATTAAACAGTCATAATGAAACACACAGACAATTGACTTCAGTGGTGTTTAACACCCTAATGAATGAAACCAGTCATTCTGATGCATTAACAACATTTTGGTCACAATGCTGGGACATGAGGATGTTTGCAGAACAGAACATTTCTTTATGTTTGACCCGGACAAACCCCAGATGTGCATGTAAACTCACAAGATGATGTGTTTCACTTTTTGACACAAGAGCTTCACCAGAACATTTTATAAATCGATCCTTGGGTGAGCCAGATGGGCTGTCAGGACACGTGATCCTGTCAAAGTTTTGAATGAAAATAAACAGCAACCTTTATGAAAAAAAGGGCGAAATAATAGTACTAAATATTGCACGGCACAGTGAGTTGACATGAGCTGCTACAGGTGCAGCCTTGTCCTGTTCTGTCCTGTTGCCCTCGCTAGCTACAGTTAGCGTTAGCTTTAGCATCGCTGCTAGCATCAGTTACCTCTCTGGGTCGTGTGGAAACCTGAAGAGCGGCTGAGCGTCACATTTGCCGCTGACACAGTTTGGAGCAGCGCACTGATTCTGCATTTTAAGTTTTTCTTTTTTATCATTAACTCATTAACTTCAGATTCTTCTGAAGACCCCAAAGACAAACCGCTACCGCGAAATGTCAAGCTACCTGCAACAACAACACAACGTCCGGGCTGTGCTTTCAAAATAAAATGCATCAATTTTAACGACTAATACCAAAAGTCACCAAAAAATTATCCAAGTGTCACATTTCATTATTATTTCTATTATTATTATTATTATCATTGTTATTATTATGTGTAAGTTATTTTCTCGGTTAATTGTTTAGCTATATCATCTATATAATGAGTGACTATCAACGAGATGTTGTCCTCAAGTGTCCTTTGTTGTCCACAACCCAAAGATATTCAGCTTGTTGCCAAAATTAAGAAGCTGAAATTAGAGAATTATTATATTTTTTCTTCAAAAAAGCTACACTTTTCAAGTGCTGTACTTAAGTACAATTTTGAAGGAAGAAACAACAAGCCTTACTTTAAACTTCTAACGCTAACAATCTAACTACACTATAGACAGAAATATTATAGTTCTTATCCCACATGCGTCTGGCATTTATTTAACATTTTTAGCTACTAGTTCAATCTCAAATTAAGATTTTAACATTAAGAAACTTTAGAAAAACATATGACAAGACCGTAATAATGCAATCAGTGTTTTGACATGTTGAAAAAAGCTGTGGCACCCACTGTCATAAACAACTAAACATGTCTTGTTTCAGACTGACGTGATGATGCTATGGAGGAGCCTGGACCTCTGTAGAACTGCTAGCTAACTTTAAATTAACTGTACTTCAGTGGAACTGTGAATCTTTTAGTTCACTTGTAGTCTTTGAGGCCACAGACAAATAATCCAGCACATGGTTCTCGTTTCTGATTTTATTTTGAAGACATATTCGCTTCCTGTTGTGACAGTTTCGAGCATCAAACGAGCGCGCGGGTCGTTGCTGTCCCATGATGCTCAGCGGTGTTTTCAAAGTGTGAATGTGGAGAACATGCAAAAACATAACAGTCCCTGTTTGTTATGGGATGTGGAATTCATGTTTTAAATATAAAATATATAGAATAGAATAGAATGCTTTTATTGTCATCACACACAAAATACAACGAAATTAAAAGACAACTCCAGTGGTGCAAAATACAAGTACAAAAAGATAAATAAGAATATATAAATATATTTACAAAAGGAGCCAGTAGGAAGTATGCACAGTTAGCAGGATAAATATAGTGCACTTATGAGGCAAGAACACTGTAGATATATGAGAAATGTTTAATATAAATAATAAATTTATACGCAGTGTTGCTGACTATCATATTCGTTTTAGAATGGATGTTTGCTTTCATCCACTTGTACAGAAAGTTCTGATATCGTCCTAATATTTAATTACAGTGCTGAGGTTGACCTGCAGACAGAATATGTGCTGCTAACTGACACTATAGCAGCGATGAGAGCATCTGGAGGTGTCTGCTGCTGCTGCTGCTGCTGCTGCTGGCTGACTCTCACCAACCGGCCGTTTCTTCTTCGTCTGTTTTTGTTGGGCGTGTGACTGTGCGCCTGGTCCGGTAATACAGGAATCCTATTTGCGTTTAAACATTCAAACAGACAGGCGAGGAAAACTTGCGGGATGACAGAATGAGGCCACTGTTCTTCAACTCTCGTTCTTAGTTTGGGACACGCTATTGGTTGGTTTTGGTTTCTCGCGATATTAGCGCGACCAATGGCGTCGCGGCGGCGCCAAGTCAAACCGAATAGTTTCCCCTCAACAGACAGAGCGACGTGTTGTGCTGGTGAGGAGCTGAGCTGCGACGGAGGAGCTTTCTCTGGTACCGCAACCACAGACCACAGCAGGTGAGTCTGTTGTTGACTTCTGTCCAGCCACAGGTAGCTACAGGTAGACTCGGCCCGCTATGCTCCGTCGTCTAACGGCTAATGTCTCGCTGACATTAACGTTTATTTGCGTCCACCCTTCATGTCAGCTAGCTAACTTTAAGCTGTTAGCTCAGCGTTAACGATGCTTGTATTTAAAACACATGTTAACAACCCGAACCTGGTGAGTTTACTGTAAAGTTCTGACCGTGTGTTGTGATGTTAACGCGGAGCTGCAAGGTGGATCGGTGCTTGGCATCGTTGCATCGTAGCTAGAAGGTCGCCGGGTTCTCCCACACAGTCCAGAAACATGTTGAGGTTAATTGGTGATTGTAAATTGTCCGTAGGTGTGAATGTGAGTGTGCTTGGTTGTCTGTCTCTAAGTGTAGCCCTGTGATAGACTGGTTACCTGTCCAGGTGAACCCGATGGATGTTAACGCGTCTGCACCGGAGTACAATCAGGACGAAATTAGACTTTTCTTTCAGATTGTACCAAGTGTAATACTGGCTTGCCATATCATGTTATGTCCTTGGTTAGTTTACATTGATTGCTTTGTTGGCTTTTCAGAAATCTCCACTAATTGAATCGGTTTTGGGGCCTTCACGATGGACAGCGTCGCAGTTTCACGACGAAACCAAACCAACAGGAAGGTAAGCTGGTGTTTGTGATGAGTACATGAAGTACTTGAAGAGTTGATCTGCAAAAACGGATAACTCCATCTTCACAAACCTTCAGAAATCCCACTTTACCATCGTCTACCTGAGACAACATTACATTAAGTTATCTCTGTTGTTGTCATTTCTACTGAGTCAAATCCATCCAGCTTCAGTTTGATCCATATTATCGCAAGCAAAAACTAAAAATCTACAAAAATGGAGTTCTGTTTTTGCAAATGAACTCTTCACTTGTCTTGTTGTGTTGAATGCTAACTCACCTTCCAAAAAAACATTTCCCCAGACTAAAATCAGTCTGTTTGATTTTATTACATTAGGGAAACAAGGAGAACACCCAGCCTGCACAGGGACCCAAGTCCTTCATCAGAAGAGACAAAACATCTGCTGCTCCGTTCCAGCTGAAAAGCAATGACAAAGAAGAGACTCTGGCAAAAAAGGATCCTTGTAAAGAGAAGCCGAAACAGGCCGCTGGTGAGGCTCTGAAAAAGGTGAAGGTTGTGCAGAGAGATGGTGTCAAACAAACCCACAGCCAGGCTTTGCTCACCGAACCGGCTGCGAAGCTCAAAAAAGTAGTTGCAGAAGCTCCAAAACCCACAGCTGCTGTCCAGTCGTCAAAATCTGCTCCAGGCATGTACAAAGGAAAGATTATCCAGTCAAAAATTGGGTCTATTTGGAAGGCAAGTGCATCTGTAGGTGCAGCAGATCCCAAACAAGAGGGTCAGAACGTGGCCAAACACAGGTCCAAATCTGTTTCTGAGATGCCTGGGCGTGGCTCACAAAAACCTGTGCCAACAAGATCCAAGTCAGTTTCTGAAAGATCTGCTCAGATGTCCAAGCCGGCTCCTAACCGACCTGCTCAGATGTCCAAGCCGATTCCTAACCGACCTGCTCAGGTGTCCAAGCCCGCCACCAGCAGCCGCCGTCCTGCCGGGTTCTGCTCTGCTCGCCCTCCTACCAGAACCATCCCAGCAACACTAACTGCTACCAGCTCCAGAAACACTACTGCGGCTTCCACTAAGCCAAGTGGGACTCAGAGCTCAAAGCCAAAGATTCCAGTGACAAACAGGAAGGTCAGCAAGCCTCCTGTCTCGAGCACCCTCAGCCAGTACAGATTCACCATGGAGACGGCCGAGGAGAGGAAGTAAGATGCATCTTAAATAAACATGATGCTTACCTTGGTGTGACTGTGTATCAGATGTGTTAAAAATGTTTGTGCTTCCCCTGCAGAGCGAAACTAGCGGAGTGGCTGGCTTCCAAGGGTAAGAGTTTGAAAAGACCAGCCCTGACAGCAGCAGGACCCTCAAAAGCCAAAACTTCTGCAAAACCCACAGCCGATTTCAAACCCAAGCCTCAGATTGAGCCTCAGCCTGCTGCACAGCGTGAACCCGAACAGAACCTGGAAGCACACGGCACCGGCTCTGCTGCCGCTCACTGTGATGACGCCCGGAGAACGGAGCCGACGGTACACGGCCAGACTCCAATCATAATGAACACCACCCTGGACCTGCTTGAAAACTCTGATGCCGATCTGCCTGTTGACCCACAGGACAGAGTGGATGATGTAAGGAGACGGGCGGGGCATGTGCTGCTGTTTTAGCTAGACTGAAAACCTTCCACAATGACAAACCAGGCTCCTTGTTTTTCATTTTGACAGATTGTTGTGAACCTGTGTGACGCCTTGGAGGCCATGGCAACACCATCCAGATGCAGTGACGGTAATTCTGTCCTCTGTGGTTTGTTAAATTTTACATTTTGTAAACCTGTTGGTATTAGGTCGGTTCTTAAGTAGTTATTCTATGTAGATGCGTCTGTTTACACTTTTTTTTTTCTCTCTCTGTGTTAGAAGTCCCACACATGACGGATGAGTGTGATGGTGTTGAAATGGAGAGCAGCAAACCAGTGGAGGAAAGTAAACAAGAGGAGCTGAAGAATGAAACGCCTGAGGATGTTGGTGAGCAGTCACAGGCTGAGCAAGTAAAGGACAAAGTAGAAGAATGTGATGATCAGAAGGTGAAGACCGAGGATGCTGAGGAAGAAGAAGAAAGTGATGATGACGTCATGGAGACGACACCCCAGAGGGAGGATGCATCAAAGATAAAGTACAGCGTGAAGACCACTCCATACCTGCAGAGGTGAGGGCAGCAACTTCCATTTACATTACTGTGGCTTTTTTTTGTTCAGCGGTTTCACTATTAAACAGTGAATAATTTTCCTCTTGAAATGTCTCATGTAGTGTCAAGAAAACAATTGAAGATGAGGCCAGCACAAGCACATCCAAAAGAAAGAGCAACATCAAAGATCTGAAGTTCCTGACACCAGTGCGCAGATCCTGCCGCATTGAGCGCAAGTCGTCCCGCCTGCCGAGCATGCTGGTCGACCACGACCCCTGTGTGTCGTCTCTGGCCGAACTGGTGAAGCTGGACGATGACGCCAACGCCTACATCTACAGAAAAAATGATGCACTTTTAGAGGATCTGCCAGACGAACCCAGACTGTGAGGAAAGTGGTTTTAAAAAGAAAAGAAAAAAAATCCTTCAGTAATGTCTGAGACTAAAGCTAATGGACACTTTATACTGTTACTTGTAAGATGGTTTCACTAATCTAAACGCATCTGCAAGATGTTTGATGTGTAATTTTGTTTTATTGTATTGGGGGAGAACATAGAGTTCATGTTTGTTCTTTCTATCTCTGAATGTTTAACAGTTTCCTTTAACAACAACCATCATAACACTGACATGTATCACCACATGTGCTATAATAAAATAATATTACTTTATTTTAAATGGTTGTGCTTTGACTGAGTTGACTAAACAGTCTTGAATGCATCTTTAAACATACAAAGTGCTGAGGTCCAGATATATCCCATGAAGAAACAGGTTCAGTATCACTCATACTGACCCAATGTAATGAAATTAAGTCTGTGTCAGAATGCGGTCTACCTTGAAACTATCACCAAGACTCAAACTGTTCTGACTACATCACATCACATTATTTCGTGAGGAAAAAAGACAAACAACATTTTAACACATTTAATCCCACTTTAATTGATCACGTTGTAAAAATCCAGAGCGCTCAGATGGGAACACTGCTTTCAATTGACCGCTTCTTGGCAAATTACATTCCTGACATTAGACTGGACGTTTTGACACCAGTTCCCTCTGATCCCAGATGAGACGTTTCATTATAACAAAATAAAAAATGAAAATCATCCACAAAGAAAAAAAACCTAAATCTCTGATGCAATTTTCTTCCCCTAAACAAAAAGTATAAAAAGTACTCTTTTCCCACTCATCTGCAGACCACAGGGGAAGGCGTTCAGTGCTGTGCGCTAAAAGGCTGTTTTCACTGCCGGCAGAAGGTTCTATGTCCTTGAGAGACCGCGGTTGTCGAGATCTTTCACCTGAAAGACGAAACACAAAGCTTTGTTAGAAACTTCTGTTATACTGCGGATTTCTTAATGTGCTGTGGAACGTGGAAGAAGAGAAGACAAGACAAAAGTGGTCATACAAGAATAAGTCAGACAGACTCGTTTATCAGTCTGATGTGAAACATGCTCCAGGTAGAGCCCTGACAAATATTTGCAAGAATAAATAATCATCAGACTTGATGAATTAATAGATACACTAAATTTAAAACAAAAAACGCCATCACAAGGTGCATCAACATGTCTTACTTCATTTTTAAAAAAACCTACAGATATTCAATTAACCATCTCTAGTAATTGGGAAAAATCTAAAACCTGGAACCATCGATTGAACAAGATGTTGATTAGTTGTCTGTCAACCAGTTAACTATCCATCCATCCATCCATCATCTCTACACCTTAATCCTCACCAGGGTCATGGGGGGCTGGAGTCTATCCCAGCTGACTCAGGGTGAAGGCAGGTTCACCTGGACAGGTAACCAGTCTATCACAGGGCTACACTTAGAGACAGACAACCAAGCACACTCACATTCACACCTACAGACAATTTACAATCACCAATTAACCTCAGCATGTTTCTGGACTGTGGGAGGAAGCCGGAGAACCCGGAGAGAACCCACGCTGCACGGGGAGAACATGGAGACGCCACGCAGGAAGATCCCGGGTGTCCTGACTGGGACGTGAACCAGCGACCTTCTAGCTGTGAGGCAATGATGCTAACCACCGAGCCACCTGCAGTCCTAACTAATTTATTAATTGTTAAAAACTGTTAAAGATCAGATTCCAGGAACTGGTGTCTGCATCTCAGGTTGAAATGTAGAGGATTCCTGCAGTCTGCAGGTTTTCTAGAAGTTCTTTTGTACCAGTCGAAGGCCGTTCTTCCCAAAGTGTGTAGCAACATGTCCGTACGAGAATAACCATGACCTGGATGACTGAGAATCTCCACAGACATCAGATTCCAGGTTATGGTCGTAAAGACCCCTTTACCTTTACTCTGTCATTTCCTCTATTCCTAAAAGAAATTGTTTTGATCAGCAAACCAACGTGGGGTCTAACTGATAGGTGTGTAGAGAACATCAGCAGCAGGTTTACCTTGTATATCCTAACCAGCCAGTGCTCTGTTGTGTAGGCCTCCTCCAACACATCCAGTTCAAAGTCTTTGTTGCCAATCTCAGCATTCCTCACTCTGTCGTAACCAGGAGGGCGCTCTGCAGAGAAGAGCAGGAGAGTTACAGCACAAAGGCTAACAGCAAGTCGAGCAGGTTCTGGTAGATTTTTGCCTCTTATGGCGAGGCAGAAGAAGAGCTGAGACGCTGGGCTGTGGGGTTACTCACTGGCCTCTGTGTAGACCTGTCCGAAGCGGTAGTAGCACATCTTGTACATGAGGCAGTTGAGCAGGACGGGCGAACCCTCGCGGTCCACTCTGAACTCTCCGGTGGGGGTGTAGTAGTCGTGCTCCTTGATGTGTTTGCCGGTGTCTGTGCTGCCGCCGATACGGACCATCCACAGAAACTTATTGATGTCTGTCAGCAGATACATACAACAATGAGACAGCTGCTCATAACAAAACCTTGAACAGAAATCACATCATGCCGTGAATATGTGAACCACGTCTTTTCTATGTCCATGTGATGGTTTAACACACAGCAGACTGGTTTAGCAGCCCCAGTGATGCAGGACACAGAGGATGTGCTGGGACATGGAACGTACCATCTGAGGAGTAACCCGTCAGTCCACCAAAGATGACCAGGACATAACTGACATCCAGCTCCCTCATAATCTCGTAGGCCCTCTCCTCTGTGGACGCCATGGCCTGCAGAGGAATCAACAACAGCTTTATTGTCGTAGCAATTACCAAAGCATTTGAGCAGATGACAAACACAGCAGCGATTCATCAACGTGATTGCTCTGAAGGTGATCCTGCTCACCTGTCCAACTCTGGAGATGTGCGTGTTGTTCCACGTGTTGTTGTCCACTAGAATCGTTCGATTAGCCATGGCCGTTATCTGATAGCCGTAATCCCACCATGACATGACTTTGGCATCCTGAAAGCACAACACAGGACTAAAGTGAATGAAAGAGCTTCAGTGTAATGACTGTGACTGTCTCTCCATCCTCGTTTAATGTGAGACCTTCTCTTTGTCACCGTGGGGATGACTGACCTCAGGAGTGTTGTGGCGGAGCCAGTAGTAGGCCTCTCTGAAGTCGTCGAAGATGATGCGGCTGCCGTCGCCTCCACGAGCAGACAGGACGATGGAGGGAGAGGAGTAGGCTTCACTGGTCACCCAGGTGGAGTGGAAGGTGTACGTGATGAGGAAGAAGGCCATGACCAGAATCATCCCACTGGCAACCTGGAAGGGACACCAGACGTCATGAGGTTGTCGTTATCTCAGCGACGTGTAAACCACAGTAACAGAACTCATTGATCAGGAGTGACTTTTGAGAAATGGTGAAAGAAAGCACCCTTTAGATATCAAACAGAATATGTTTTTATCTCTCTAAAAAAATGATGATTTTATGACTTTGCTGAGATTTAAAACACTTCTAACTTTAATTTAGAAAAGTTCTCAATAGTAAAGGCTATTATCCATCCATCCATCCATCCATCATCTCTACACCTTAACCCTCACTAGGGTCGTGGGGGGCTGGAGTCTATCCCAGCTGACTCAGGGTGAAGGCAGGTTCACCTGGACAGGTAACCAGTCTACCACAGGGCAGTAAAGGCTATTATCATTATTAATACTATAGTATTTGCTTTTAAAACGTAGCAGGGCGATAGCTTAAAGTTGCATAAAACACAAGTCAAAACTGTATGTATAGCAGTAATTCACTAGATTTCCATCATTGGAAACAAACATAAAAAGGAAGAGACGAGGGAACAAAATGTCTACAGTCTTTATGCTTTAGAAAAAACAAGTAATAACAAAAAAGGTTGTAGATGTAGAAGTACTGCCTAACATGAGCACGAGCCGCTTTGTCTGGCTAAGTGATCATGTCCAACCTGTTTGAATGTACTGATTTTAATGTGTGAACTGAATAGAAACCCTCAGCAGACTGCCACCACCTCGTACCAGCTCAATCAGCACGCTCAATCTCTCAGACCTCATCTAGACTGTACCTCGTTTTTGATGGGGTAGGTAGAGTCCTGCTGCTTCTTGCTCTTCTTGTCTGGCCGACTGACGTCCAGATTCTTCATGTAGGTGGTGAGCACCTGGGAGACACCGATGCCTGACAGGATGCACATGACCGGAGCCAGCACCAACATCAGACGCACCTGAGGAGGCCACAAAGAAGCAGCACATCAACACATGTATATTTATAGAGAAGATGCAGATTCACATTTCCTGTTTACATCGGTACATTCAATTCTGGGAAAGTGGTAACTTAGTAACTTATTTGATATGTAACTGGATATGTGTGTTAAAAACTGGTTCTGTGGAGACGTACCATGACGGCTGAGAAGTACATGCTGGTGACTCCATACATGATGATGAAGATCCTGGCGTCAGACAGGTTGTTGAAACAGTAGTAGAGACCAACTGCAAGAAAAGAAAAGTTAAACCAGAGTTACGTGTGTTGTTACGGCCAATTAACAGTTTCTGCGATGGTGTGCCGACTGCAGCAGTGGCTCTGTTTACACTTCAGTACACTTTTCCCTCATACTGGACAGAGAAAACCACGAGAGGAAACAGCATCCCACACTGTAGCACTCTATCAGTGATTATGATTGAGGTGTGGCAGGCACAGTGCATGAACATAGAGGAGTTCTAAAGGAATTGAAAGTTTCTACAGTGTTTGGACATCATTGCTGAAAGCATGCAAAAGCAAAGCTCGTCCAAAGTCCAGCACCAGCTACCTCAATATAGACTCTTTGCAGGATGAATTATAAACGGTGTGGGAGAGAATCTCCTCATTAAGCACCACTAGTGTTCCTGACACACCAACAGCTGGTGTGTTTGTCGTGCGGATAGTCACAGAATCTATGCTGCCGGCAGAGAGTCAGCGCAGAACCTCACAGACTTCAGCAGATGATGACATCAACGTCTAGCAGGCACAGAAAGCATGTACTAGCCCTTGGCTTTGTGTTTCTGCTGACTTGCCTGGGAACATGAAGACCAGCAGCTGGAGGTCAAAGTAGTACGAGGACCAGGTTGTGGGCTGGTGCTCAGAGACAGAGGCGATGATGGGGATGTTGTTCTTGGCGTAGGAGGGATCCAGCAGGGAGTAGAAACGACCAGTCCATGGAGAGATTTTACCTGAGAGCAATACACTCAAAGTCAGTCCAAAGCAGAATAATGCAGGACAAGAGTGAAGCCATCGCTTGAAAAGGTTTTTCCATCCATTATGCTTCTGCACCTT